GGTGGATCCAAATGAAGGTTCTTCTAGGCTCCCAAGATGTATGGGAGTTTGTAGAAGATGGATTTGCTAAACAAGTCCAGCAGAAGAAGGAGCAATGAATGCAGAAGGAAGAAAACAACTCAAAGAAAGAAGGAAGAAGGAGAAAAAGGCTTTGTTCACAATCTACCAAGGCTTTGATGATACAATGTTCGAGATCATCGCTCCAGCAAATACTTCAAAGGAGGCTTGGGAAATGCTTCAAAAAGCATTCGGTGGTGTTGATAAGGTAAACAAACTTCATCTACAAGTTTTACGAGCCGAGTTTGAGAAATTACAACAAGGTACTTCTGAAACCATTTCTGATTACTTCTCAAAAATCATTTCTATTGTTCATCAAATGTGACGAAATGGTGAACAAGTAAATGATCAGAGAGTAATAGAAAAAATATTTAGATCTCTAGATCCGAAATTTGATTTTATTGCTGTTGCGATCGAAGAATCTAAAGATTTGGAAAAAATGTCTTTAGAAGAACTTATGGGTTCCCTTCAAGTTCATGAACAAAGGATTGCAAAAAGAGGAGAAGACAAAACTATGGAGCAAGCATTACAAACAAAGCTTACTCTTGAAAATAAACGAGAATCAAATCCTCAAAGAGGAAGAGGACGAGGACAAAGAGGAAGAGGAGGCATAAATCATACCAATCAAGAATCTCCAAACATTGAAGGTGGTGGAGAAAATTCTAGCCAAAGAGGCCGAGGTTATGGTCGAGGACGTGGCCGAGGCCGTGGACGTGGCAGAAATTCTAAAAGGTCTGAAATACAATGTTATGTTTGCAAAAGGTATGGGCATTATTCTTATGAATGTTATTATAATCCTAACAATCAAGGTGACAAGGCAAATTTTGTTGAGGAAGAAAAGAACGTAAATCAAGTTTTATTAATGAGCTATGATAATTTGAAAGAGGATCAATCTATGACATGATATCTAGATACAGGAGCTTCAAATCACATGTGTGGCATCAAAGAGCTATTTTCAGAAATAGAAACAAGTTATTCCGAGAACATTACATTTGGCGATTTGTCTCAAAGACCAGTAAGAGGCAAAGGTAAAATTCTCCTTGAACTTAATAATGGCAAGGAAGTATGCATTTCAGATGTTTATTATGTTCCTAATATGAAAAATAATATTTTAAGCTTGGGACAATTACTTGAAAAATGTTATGAAATTGAGATGAAAGATATGGCTCTCTCAATTCGTGATAAGAATAAAACACTGATATCACATGTGAAAATGGCAAAGAATAGAATGTTTCCTCTGCATTTAAGTATTTTTGATCAATCAAATTGTTTTAAAGCTGATATTGAGGATATTTCTACACTTTGGCATCTTAGATATGCTCACTTAAATTTTGAGGCTTTGAAACTTCTAGAGAAGTATAATATGGTGACAGGAATGCCAAAAATTGATCGTCCAGCAAAATTGTGTGAAGTATGTGTCATGGGTAAGCAAGAAAGAAAGTCTTTCAAAGTGAGAAGGACAAAAAGAGCATGGAATCAACTTGATCTAGTGCACTCAGATGTTTGTGGCCCTATCAATCCAGTATCACTTGGAGGAAGCAGGTATTTTCTTACCTTCACTGATGATCATAGTGGAAAAACTTGGGTTTATATGTTAAAAGAAAAGAAAGAAGTTTTAAGCAAATTCAAAGAATTTAAGGATTTGGTTGAAAGACAAAGTTGTTGTAAGATTAAATGTTTAAGAACAGATAGGGGCGGTGAATATATATCAAATGAATTTGAAAGTTTTTGTAGAAATAATGGAATTCTACATCAATTCACCATGCCATACACACCTCAACAAAATGGTGTCTCAGAAAGAAAAAATAGGACTATCCTTAATATGGTCCGATGTATGTTAAAGGAAAGAAAAATTCCTAAAGAATTTTGGGGTGATGCTGTTGCTTATGCAGTTTATTTGCTTAACAGGTTTCCGACAAAGCGAATTGGTAATGTTACACCAGAAGAAGCATGGAGCTTACAAAAACCAAGAATTGATCATTTGAGGATTTTTGGAAGTGTTGCATTTGCCAAGATACCAGAAGAAAAGAGAACAAAATTGGAGGATAAAAGTCAGAAATGCATTTTGCTAGGTTATCCAGAAAAATTCCAGTGGTTACAAACTCTACAATCCTATCACAAATAAAGTTATGATGTCAAGAGATGTTGAGTTTGATGAACAACAGATTTGGAACTGGAAAAGTGATGACCAACATAAGAAAGCTGTAGTTTCAGAAGAAGATGATATAATACAAGCAAGCACCGAAGTTGCTTTGCCAGAATCATCACCTAGATCAGCTAGGTCACATGATTCAAGAAGTCCAATTATAAGAAGGACAAGACCGATTCAGGACCTATATGATGTGACTCGAAGGATTAATACTAACAACGATGAACTTTCTTTATTTTATCTTTTTGCAGGATATGATCCATTAACCTTCGAAGAAGCTTATAGAGATGAAAAATGGCGACAAGCTATGAATGAAGAGATTCATGCAATTAACAAAAATAATACATGAGAGCTTACTACACTTCCAGAAGACCACCAAGCTATCGGTGTTAAGTGGATCTTCAAAACAAAAAGAAATGCAAAAGGAGAGGTGGAGAAATACAAGGCCAGATTGGTTGCAAAGGGATATAAACAACAATATGGGATTGACTATGAAGAAGTATTTGTGCCAGTTGCTCGATTGGAGACAGTAAGATTACTTATCTCTCTAGCAGCTCAAATGAAATGGAAGATTTTACAAATGGATGTCAAATCAGCATTTCTTAATGGAGTTCTTGAAGAAGAGGTATATATTCAATAACCCTCTGATTTTATTATTCAAGAACAAGAAGACAAAGTATACAAGTTAAAGAGAGCTCTTTATGGGCTTAAACAAGCCCCACGAGCATGGAATTCTCGAATAGATACTTATTTTATTCAAAATGGTTTTTCTAAATGTCCACATGAACATGCTCTCTATACGAAATCTAACTCAAATGGAGATATCTTGTTTGTATGCCTGTACGTAGATGATTTAATATTTACAGGCAATAGTAGCTCCATGATTATAGATTTTAAGCACTCTATGAAAAAGGAGTTTGAGATGACCGACTTGGGCTTAATGACTTATTTCCTTGGTATCGAAGTTATACAAGATAATGAAGGAATTTTTATCTCACAAGAAAATTATGCAAAGGAGGTTTTAAAGAAGTTTTCCATGGAAGATTGTCATCCTACAGATACACCTATTGAATATGGCACCAAGTTGACCAAGGAAGGTGAAGGTAAATATATTAATCCAACTTATTATAAAAGTCTAGTTGGATGTTTAAGGTATTTGACAAGCACTCGACCTGATATACTATTTGGAGTTGGTTTAATAAGTAGATTTATGGAAATTCCAAAGACATCTCATTTAAATGTTGCTAAAAGAATTTTGCAATATGTCAAAGGAACAATTGAGTATGGAATGTTCTATTCATCATCTAAAAAGTTGGAGCTCATTGGATATAGTGACAGTGATTGGGCCGGAAGCTACGATGATCGGAAGAGTACAACTGGATTTGTATTTTATTTTGGTGAAGCTACATTCACTTGGTCTTCAAAAAAGCAACGAATCGTTGCTCTATCAAGTTGTGAAGCAAAATATATAGCAGCTTCTTCTAGTGTTTGTCATGCAATATGACTAAGAAGATTACTCCAAGAACTTCATATGCCACAGGAGAAGTCAATCAAGATTTATGTTGATAACAAATCAGCTATTGCCTTAGCCAAGAATCCAGTCTATCATGAAAGATCGAAGCATATCGATACAAGATTTCATTTCATAAGAGATCATATAAAAAATAAAGAAGTGGAGATACATCATGTCAAGACAAGTGAACAAGTGGCTGATATACTCACAAAACCTCTTAAATTTGAAATATTTCAACAACTTCAAAGGAAACTTGGCATGCTGGATGGAACAAGTTTAAGAGGGGAGAATGTTGGAATTAAACTTGTTCAAGTATCATAAAAAGGTTCATTGCATCAAGTGGGAGAATCATTACATCAAGAAAAAAAAAAGGATTAAAAGTCTATAGAAGGATAAGTCAAATTGGTTATTGGTTCTTGAAAGGATTTCTTGAAAGAGAATGATTCATCTTGAATATAATTAATATAATGTATCTTTGGAGACTATATAAACCCATATGTTGGGTCATGAGGGTAATAGAGTTTCTGAAATTGTAAAAGTGTTTTTCTTGAGAGAAATATAGAAGATTGAAAGCTTGTCATACTCTTCTTCTATTTGATATCTCTATCCTCTCTTCCTATCAACATCAACAGTTCAATGATACTACTGATCTGCTGCAGACCATGGAACTGATTGATTCAATCCAGCTTCTTGGATTGGATTATCACTTTCAAAAGGGAAAAAGCGAAGCATCAAGTCGAATCCATGATGCTGATATTGACAACAAGGATATTATGTGTCCCCAAATAATGCACTTAATTCCTTAAAATAAAGCAATATTTGTATGTGTGATCCAAAACAATACGATCTTTTTTTTCATCATCTTTTATTTCATCATCTTTTTTTCATCATCTTGTATGTGTGATCCAAAACAGTACGAAAAATATTTTCTTTGGTAAAATAAACATAAAAATCACTCACAAAAGTCATTATTTTGATTATCACATAATCATTTAAAACAGCAAATTTATTTTATTATATGGCTTTATGTTTTTTTTTTCTGAAAACAAAAAATCTTTTGTATTTCTGTAGATGCCTTTAACGAGTTCAAAGATGAGGGAGGGAGTTTCATGTCTACGTTGGGCAGTGATGTGAAGGGACTACTAAGCTTGTACAACGCAGCCTATCTTGGGACTCATGGGGAGATCATTCTTGATGAAGCCATCTCTTTTACGAGGAATAGCCTAGTGTCTGCATTAGCTGATCTTAAACCACCATTAACAACGCAAGTGTCTCTTGACCTCGAGACACCTCTCTGTAGGAGAATTAGAAGGCTCTTGGCAAGAGATTACATATCTATATACCAAGAGGACGCCACACGAGATGATGCCATCCTGGAGCTTGCAAAGTTGGACTTCAATTTGCTGCAATCTCTTCATCGCGAGGAACTTAAGAACATCACCATGTAAGCTCTTCCTCACTTTTGAATTCCCTGGAGCTATATTTCTTCTGGATTTTTATAAAGAAAGAACAATACAATCATGTTGCTAATGTAAACAAGTGAAGGCTAATTGCTGAGCTTGGTTCCTTCTCCCATCAAACTTTTAATTGATATGTAATGCCATTTTGATTTGTGAACGACTTGAAGGTGGTGGAATGATTTAGCCTCATCAAAAAATCTCAGTTTTGCTCGAGATAGATTGGTGGAATGCTATTTCTGGATCCTGGCAGTATACTTTGAACCCTATTATTCTCGTGCACGAGTGATAACGACCAAGGTGATTGCCCATATTTCAATTTTGGATGACATATATGATGTCTATAGCACATTGGAGGAGAGCCAACGACTAACTGAGGCAATTCAAAGGTTCGCAAATCTTATATCAATGGACATATTACCTTTTACTATCATTGTGTATAGCAAAATAACAACATGTATGTTTATGTTCTAATTTTCTAAAGATGGTGAAACTAATATATATGCAGGTGGGATGCGAAGGTTGTTCATCAATTACCAGAGTACATGAAAGATTATTATCTAAAGCTAATGCACACCTTTAAAGAGTTTGAAGATTTATTGGCTTCCAATGAGAAATATCGCATAACCTATCTAAAGGAAGCGGTGAGTGATGAGATTATAAGGTTCATCTTATTTTCACTTTTATTAATTTGCATTACATAAGTAATAAATGAATACACTAATAGCCAATGCAAAGAATAAGCGTTTGAGATGCGACAGTATTAAACTTAGATTGTATACTACTCATGCATTACAAACATTAAGGAATGGTTTTGTTTTACTTGGGTACAGATGAAAGATTTATCTGAAGCTTATTTTGAGGAATCCAAATGGAGAGATCAACATTACATACCAACTTTGGAAGAACATCTACAAGTTTCCCTCATAAGTTCAGCATATCCTATGCTCGAATGTGCTTCTTTTGTTGGAATGGGAGAAATAGCAACTAAGGAGGCGTTTGAGTGGATTACTAGTTTCCCAAAGATTGTCCAAGCTTCTGCAATAATTGGTCGTATCATGAATGACATTACTTCACATGAGGTATATTCATAATATAATCTCCTGTGTTTTATATCATATAAACATTTTTCATAGTAAATTTTGCACTGATATCTCTCGTAGTAGAAATATGATGACATAAAAAAAGAAAATAACATACATTCTCCAATTAGATGAGAAAGACCATAATTGAGGTTTAATAGGTAATCTCCAAAGGTTGTCTTCAATATTCCTTCTATTTATCACCTCGAAAGCATTTCTTGTGTCACTCAATTGCATTATCAATGTTTTGCTGAACTTAACATGATTTTACATTAAGAAATCTAGTACAAACAAAAAAACTCTCGTTCGTAAGCTTCCACATCTGTAGATTCCCAAATTCCTTTCATGTACACCTTATTATTGATAATAGTCTATCAATTTGTTTTAATATAATAAACATGTAAATCCTGAAAGGATCCCTTAGAATTCAGTTTGTAGACCATTAATCCTCTTTTTTCATGAAATTTGCAGTTGGAACAAACTAGGGAACATGTTGCCTCCACGGTCCATTGCTACATGAAAGAATACGGAACAAATGTGCATACGGCATGTAAGAAGCTCCAAGTTCTAGTTGACGATGCATGGAAGGATATAAATGAAGAGTGCTTTAATCAAACTACATTCCCCATTGCTTTACTCCAAAGGATTGTTAATTTTGCACGAATGATTGAAATTTTATATAAGTACATCGATGGATACACCAACTCCTCTACGAAGACAAAGGAATATATCTCTTTGTTACTTGTGCATCCTGTTCCACTTTGATTGTATGACGATGCTTGCTTCTTCCATGAATCCTTTATTCTGAAATATATGTAAGCCTTTGTAAATGAACATGGACTGTACTATGCTTGCTTTTTCTATGAATCCTTTATTCTGAAATATATGTAAGCCTTTGTAAATGAACGTGTATTGTACTATGCTTGCTTCTTCTATGAATCCTTTATTCTGAAATATATGTAAGTCTTTGTAAATGAATGTGTATTGTACTATGCTTGCTTCTTTTATGAATCTATGTAAGCCTTTGTAAATGAATGTGTATTGTACTAGCCCTGGGAAGCTCAAGCCAGTATTATCTATGGAAAATAAAAATCTTTGCTTAACAGTAGTTCAAAGCAATTTGCAAGTTGCTGGTATGTGTTACAAAATTATATTAGCTAGTTGCAATTTTCACTCTTTTCAGTCTTGCCAACTTGAGAAAGGCTCTTGAAGCTGCTATGCTAAATAGAGTGTCAGGATGGTGAGGTTGGGTTTTGTAGATGCCTACATCAGATATCAAGATACTTCTTAGTTAAGTTTGGGATGATTACAATTCGGAAACATATATATTCAAGCTACATTTTGGATAAGTTAGTGATATCATATGTTGGACATAATTCATGCACCATGCTATCAGAAGATTTGGCCTTGTCATTAGAGAAAACAAATTCTACTATCTTATGAAAAATCTTGTAAGCAGAACAAGCAATGGGGTTGAAAACAAGATCATTCGTAGCCCTCCATATTCACCAAAGACCAATATCATTTAGAACCCACAAGGTTTGACCACCAGAATTGGGACACTGCACCCCCTCATTAAAAATTGAATATCTAGTTAATATTTAAAGAGTTGCCATAATTTAATAGGAAAGACGCACAGAAAGAAGTGAATAATGGTTTCGGCTTTAGACTGACAAAAGGGACAAGTAGTAGCATTATTGCACACTCTTAGTTGAGATGATCAATGAGAGGTGGCGGTGCAAAAGTTTCCAACAAAGAAATTTAACGTGAGGCAACACGGGAAGCTTCCACAAACAATACAACTAGTCCACGTTAGGATCAACCATCCCAACTGAGAAGCAAGAAAATGATAGGCAGACTTAGCAGAACAAACCCTCTTATTATCTAGCTTCTAAAACTAAAAATGATCATGTCATATATGGATTAACAATGAGATTAGAACCACCAAAGATCTATCACTAGCATGTATATTGCTGAAAGCATGTATGAATGGACTACGAGAATCTAAAATATAGTTATCTTTGAAAACATCAATAATAGAAATATCACCAAAAAATTTAGTGAACTCTCCTCTTAAACTTTCAAGAGCGAGAAGAAACAAACCCGATTCTAGCTTTGCCATAATAATTTTGAATATTCCAAGGATAAATCACAGCATATTTAGTTCTAACCATTTTATCTCATATACTATCAATGATGGAACGATATTGGCCTCTGTTGAGCTTGAAGTGTATATTTCATAAGAAAGGTTCTCAGTCCCAAGACGTAGCATATTTAGAAAGAATTATCCCTATCCCAATCCCATGATAGAATGTGCATACCCTTGGAAGAACCACAATCGACCCAGAAAGTAATCCCATGATAGAATGTGCATACCCTTGGAAGAACCACAATCGACCCAGAAAGTATCTAGGATTGCTAATAATATTATTCAAAATATCATTATCCATCCAAGAGTCGCTTAAGCTGCATCTTTTGGTTCAAATCACTCGTCTTGTGGTCATGCTATGTGATAGGGATAATATTTGTTCCGATACATACTTACACATGTGACAGCTCAGCATGGGTTAAACCCATTATAGAAAGCCCTCCATACAAGAAGAAATCAAAGTCAATGACTATTCACTAGGATTACTCCATACTTATAGGTAAATAGTTTGAGTGTCAAAAGGATCAGTCGAGAAATCCATCCAACTTTAATCTTCGTCTTCGTACAAATTGATCAGGAAGCATGCATTCGAATCCACATTAGGACTTGAGGAGCGTCCAAGTCTTTCGTCAACCAACTTAGACCTTTGAAATGCCCACAGTTACTGCCACAGGCGAAGCCGGATTTGTGCTAGTCTCATCAAATGGACCATGGCATCACAATTCGGATTTGTTGCCAATGAGTCACTCAAACCAAATATGGAACAATTGATGTGGCAGATAAAAAAACATGAATAACGGAGAGCGACACAAGAGGCAATAAAACACAAAAATACCTGCACATTTGGAATCCTTACGTCTCTTCATATCTTATGTCGATGGCACCCATGCATGGAAACCAATTGGCATTTGTAACGCTTACGTCTCTTCATATTTTTTGTAACATGCGTCTCCTTTACAACATCAATGCCACCTTGATCAAAGATTATAGACCGAGGCAACAAATCTATTTTTATTTAAATATTTTAAATATAATTTAAGCACATAAGATGAATACGTATCTATTTTTAATTTATTTGAATTTGATTATGTATACTGATCTTCCAGATCTCATATTTTAAATTACCAATATGGGATCAGTATACATAATCTTATCTTTAAATATTTAAGTCTAACTAATTATTATTTGAATATTCAAATTGGATTTGAGAACATATATTTTTTTTATCAAGATCCAATTGATCCCATTGCTAAATCACAATTGAGTTATAGAGCATGAGAGATATACTTGTTTATTGGAAGTTAAAGCATTATTAATGGAACATCACTTGGAATACGACCTCAAAGAATTTAACCCTATAGATTGCAAACTAGGCCAGGCTGTTGCCATTGCAACGGGGGCCATGTATGTAATGCAGCCTTTTTTAATTACAGGAAATTGACAGACGATTGATGGATGACAAGGAGGAGCATAGCCTCCACAAAGTGAACATGCTGTTGCCATGGGAGTATACTTTGATTTGTGAATGACTTGAAGGTGGTGGAATGATTTAGCTCCCTCAAAAAATCTCAATTTTGCTCGAGATAGATCGGTGGAATGCTACTTCTGGATCCTGGGAGTATTCTTTGAACTTTACTATTCTCGTGCACGAGTGATAATGACCAAGGTGATTGCCCTTATTTCAATTCTGGATGACATATATGATGTCTATAGCATATTGGAGAAGAGTCAACAACTCGCCAAGGTAATACAAAGGTTCGCAAATCTCATATCGATGGACAGATTAACTTTTACTATCATGGCTCATCATATGATAACAAAAGGTGCCACTTATAATATCACATAAGAAAATAAAATATCGCATAATAGTTTTACTCGTCGTGTATAGCAAAATAACATCTATGTTTATGTTATGTTTTTCTAAAGACGGTGAAACTAATACAGATGCAGGTGGGACGCAAAGGTTGTTCATCAATTATCAGAGTATATTAAGGATTATTATCTAAATCTAATCCACACCTTTGAAGAGTTTGAAGATTTATTGACTTCTAGTGAGAAATATCACATAACCTATCTAAAGGAAGCGATGAGTGATGAGATTATAATATTTTTCTTATTTTCACTTTTCAGATGCGACAGTATTGAACTTAGATTGTCCTACTCATAGACACTACTCATAAATTACAAACATTAAGGAATGGTTTTGTTTTACTTGGGTACAGATGAAAGATTTATCTTAAGCTTATTTTGAGGAATCCAAATGGAGTGCTCAACATTGCGTGCCAACTTTGGAAAAATATCTACCTATTTCCCTCGTAAGTTCAACATATCCTATACTCGAATGTGCTTCTTTTGTTGGAATGGGAGAAATAGCAACTGAGGCATTTGAGTGGATTACTAGTTTCCCAAAGATTGTCCAAGTTGCTGCAATAATTGGTCATATCATGAATGGCATTACAT